CCGCATCTTCAGTGAGCTGTGTAAAGAAATGGGCTCTGAATTTGAGGTACTTCTGCTCCATTCTAATATTCGGTGGTTATCCCGGGGACAGGTGCTGAATCGTGTTTTTGCCATGCGTGTGGAATTAGCCCTGTTTTTGCAAGAGCACCAACACTGCCATGCAGATTGCTTCAAAAATCCTGAGTTCATTCTCATTTTAGCGTACATGGCTGATATATTCGCAGCTCTCAATCATCTCAATCAGCAGATGCAGGGTGGTGGAGTCAATATCATGGAAGCGGAAGAACACCTGAAGGCTTTTCAAAAAAAGCTACCGTTATGGAAACGACGAACAGAGAACAATAACTTCGCAAACTTCCCGCTTCTGGACGACTGTGCAAGTAAGATCGAAGATGTGTCTGGAATCGGATATATTTCTGTATCCACGGAACTGAAGCAAACAATTGCCACGCACTTAGATGAGCTTGCAAAGTCTCTCAACGGATATTTCCCTACAAGAGAGTCATATCCAGCATGGGTGAGACAGCCGTTCACGTTTGCTGTTGAAACAGCAGATGTCAATGATGAATTCCTCGACGAAATCATTGAAATTCAGCAGAGCCAGGTTCAACAGCAACTCTTCAGAACAACAACGCTCTCAACGTTTTGGTGTCGACAAATGAACAAGTATCCAGTTATTGCTAAGAAAGCCCTGGATGTTTTTATACCATTTGTTACAACATATCTTTGTGAGCAATCCTTTTCGAGGATGCTGGACATAAAAACGAAGAAAAGGAACAGACTTTGCTGTGAAAATGACATGAGAGTGGCACTTGCCAAGGTGAAGCCACGCATATCTGAACTGATCTCTCAAAGGCAACAGCAGAAGTCACATTGATTTCCAGGTATGTAATTTGTTGTGAGTTTATGCATTGTGTTGGTTTTATTCTTTGAACAAGGTAATGTTCATGCACGGCTCATTTTGTGTACCAGTAAAAAACATATCTATGTCTTGAATTTGAAAAAAATCACATTTTATTTTTCACTAAAGAGGGGTTCGGTGAATGCGCATATGAAACTGGTGGGGTTCGGTACCTCCAACAAGGTTAAGAACCACTGTGCTAGATGAATGCCTCACCACAATGTTTTGTTGGCTGTTTGACCATCCCTTGCCGGGCGGTCACGCGTGATGAATCCACTGCTGGATGAGGGCTTCCCTGAAGCCGTCGCCCTTTCCACAACCCCGCGATGTAACAATTCACGCAGCAACAGCTCGGGCTGCTGCTGCTGCTGCTGTACGCACCGCTTTATCTCCCCGGATGTGGTCAATCCCAGACGTGCTCCGTTCGCTTGGTCGCCACTCCCCTCGCCGTTCATGGCCATCAGTCATTGCCCCTTCTGGCCGGGACGCGTCCACTTCAAAGCCCCCTGTTGATGATGATGTGGATGCAGATGATGATGATCATTATCATGTGCATCATGTAGATGATGTGGATCATGATGTAGATGATGTGGATCATGATGTGGACGATGCTGATGACGCGGACGATGGTAATGTGGCCGAAGACGATGGTGGTTGGTCATGGTGATGTGGATGATGGTGATGTGGATGAGGGTTATGTGGAGGATGCTGATGTGGCTGAAGATGATGTGGGTGGTCATGATGATGTGGATGATACTGATGTTGATGATGATGTAGATGATGTTTATGATGTGGGTGATGATGTTGGTGATGATGTGGATGATGATGTAGATGATGTGGATGAAATTAGATTCGAAGCTTTCGTGACTGCAGGAATTATGTGGTGCCACCACGGCGGAGTAGCTCCGTTGGGGACCGTGCCCACCGCCGCGACACCACCCCCGGGGTGTGACAACGCCGACGCGGCGAACTTCGCTGCACCCCCCCCCCCCCCCGCACGAACGCCGGAAGGGGAGATCACCTGGCCGATAGTTTTTTTTCCATAAGCCCCTAATGGGATTAAGTTTTATGGTTTCCTACGGCCGGGAATTTGGGCGATATCCCCCTGTAGCTGACACGAACCACGGCGCCGTGACCTGATATTAAAATCACGTAGTCGCGGCGGAGGTTGTAAAACCACCACGGACGAAATTACACACGTGGCACGGGGCGTGTGAACCACGAGATGCCCGTTGTTATAGATGGAATTAGGAAATGAATGCCCCTGATTATAGGTGAGCTCACGGATCCAAATGAAACAAGATAGGAGCATTCAGTCCTTTGAATGAGCAGGGTGACGCGGGGCGGAAGCATCTGAATGCCTTTTGTGCTAGATAAGGTCACAGGACCGAATGCCTTTGTTAGGATCAGGGCTCTAGATAACAAAGGGGTAAGAATATCCAACATCTGAATGGACAGGGCCATCTGGGGTGTGAGAACCACAGTGCGCCTTTATTATGAATGGGATTAGGGACTCGATGACAATGAGATAAAAATAACGCGACCTCCGATTGGGCCGGGCAGCATAGGTGCGAAAGCATCGGAGTGCCTTTTGTTATAGGTAAGCTAATAGACTCGACTATGAAAAAGCACGTGCGATGATGTGTAGGGTCCGTGGAATATAATTGATGATAGGTAGGAGAAAAAGGAGGTGAGGGGGACAGTAAAAAAAGTCTTCTTCTGCAAAATCATCGCGGTCGAAGGGGCAGGAGGGTCAGCCGTTCGAGACGTCCTTGCGACGAGTCCAGCGCAGCTAGACTCAACCCTCTCTGGAGACGACTCACAGTATCGCCTTTCTACAGCGTTCAGCGCAGCAGAGTGGAAGCAATCGTAAGTAGAGGAAAGGTAATTTTGGGCTGTTGAATAGAGGGTAGAAAGCGGAGCTATAGGCAGGATAAGCTGAATCTGGGCTCCTCGAGGAATAGGTTAGGTGGGCCTGCTGACTCGCACAGACACTCGTAGTTAGCGGGATACTTGCGGGGAATAAAACCGCTAACAGAGGATAAAGCTGTGTCGTGGTCGCTGTGAGTGCGAGGAGGGAGACGGAGTGTTTGGTGTTCCCATACCGGTACGAGTGTGTACAGTACTGTTTTGCACTCGTGAGCATACGCGGAGGCTTGCGGCGGATACGAGAGTAAAGAGTGCTTGGTGGTCGCTCGTATGCTCGGTTGTTAACATCGGGGCGAAGTGCTTAGCGTGCGCGTGCCTACACGGCTCTTTACGGGTGTGCTGTTCGGCGGGCGCGTGCCTAAGCGACTGTTTTCGGTGGTGTTTAGCGCTCGTGTGCCTGTGCGACGTTGTTGTGTTCGTGTGCCTGCGAGATTGCTAATCGCGAAGTAGCGAGCTAAAGCGCCGAGCGCACGCGTATTCGTGCGACTGTTCGAACGGGCTCTTTAACTCAGAGCCGGGCGATCCTCCTCAATCGGCGGCGCGCGCACGGCAAACGTCCCGCCCGCCCATCCCTCGACCCCAACCCCCTCGCGTGCGATTGGTGTACGGGGCTGGGCAGGGGGTAGAGGCGCGTTTGTTATTACCGGGGCACGTGGAGCGGGGGTGGGAGGGAGACACGCGCCGCGCAAGTCTGTTCACGGGCGGGAGGGAGTTTTTACGGGCGAACGCGCTCCTCACGGTACACCGCCTCACAGCGCACCGCTAGTGTAAAGCAACGCGCCCTACCCATCAGTTAAAACATGCAGACGCGGTCAGCAGCACAGGAGGGCGGGGTAGTGGAGGTCGCTAGCCCGAACCCCACAGAGCAGCCGGGGGGTAGTGGGATAAATGTGGCGGGGGAGTCGGGAGCCAACGGCCCCGACAATTCGGTGATGATGTTGGACATTCGCCCCCACAGTTTGGCGTCAGAAGCGGTACGAAACCCCGCGTTACCCCACGCGAAAATAAAGCATATATTCACCGGCCGGGGTACCCCTTCATGGAAAGCGTTTGCCTGCAACGTCCTAGGGGCTAAGGAAATTAATGGGTGGACGGACGCGCAGGCGTTACGTCAACTTAATATGAATCTGGATGGGCGGGCAGCCGATTTTGTGGAAGCCATACCCACAAGCGCGCAGATACAGCTAGAGGAGCTGATGCGGGGACTTGATCTGCGTTTCGGTATGCGCGATGAGGAGGCAAAAGCGGCCTTAGAGTCACGCCGTCGCCAACCCGGCGAGGACCTGCGCGATTATGCCGAGGATGTGCGCGAGCTAACCAAGATCGCCAGCCCGGGGTACACGACAGAGGTGATTGAGGAGCTGGCCGCAGAGAAAATCCAGCGATACTTAACTCGCACGGCATGGTGGCACCCAGACATGAACTGTGCGCGTCTCCCCTTTAACGCCCTTGTCGAGCACGTGGGCAAATGTGAAATAATTTCTAGCGAATGCGCGCAGCTCCGAGGACTGGGACGGGAGCGCACCGTCGCAAGCCTGTCCACCGAGGAGGAAGAGGAGGAACAGGAGGCTTTGCAAATAAGCAGCTGTGCTTTAACCTGACAGCTGCCCACCTGTTTTCATGCTGCTCATGCGCATGAGAATGCGTTACCAACTTCATGCATGTGCATGCTTCTGCCTAACTCACACTCACAGCTACAAGCTCCGTTCGGCCCTCTTGTAACAATCGTTATTCAGGTATGATAAGAGCGCCCTCTTTAACGCCGGGTACCCAAGGGTGCTCTACATGAGATTATCGATTGGCATCATCTTATATAAATACATTTGAATTGGCACCCCATCGGCAGCCGTCAGAAAACATTTTCTTGAGTCGCTATGAATAACCTTGGAAAAAGCATGTCATCTCCAATTCCCCTTTTAATATTTATTATGGTAATTTTGCTACATGATCAATCTTCTGCAGGCTGAATAGTTGTGCATGCCTGTAATTCAGCACTGTAGAGCCGCAGGTTGGTGGATCACACCAATGGTGTGAAACATCATCTGTGGCCCCTCCTCCTGCCTCAGAGTGGTTCTCGCTCTTCCAGATAGAGTGAATACTGCGTGGCATTGGCGTATTACAAGTTGACATTATTATCAAAACCTCTAAATGTGAATATCTTCTACTGCCCATCGTCTAGAGGAACATGTCGATTAAAGAGCCTGGTGCAGGGACCATCCGGATGATGAGTTTTGAAAACAGCTTTTTGGTGGGACGCCAACGTGAGTCGTGAGTGTGTGGCTGAGTGTGAGAATGTGTGTTTATGCAGTTTGAGGAGCAGTAGTGTAGTGTTTATATTCTTTGGTTCTTTCGGTAAAGCCACGTAGAATGAGAATAAAATAAGAAATTGATCAAATAAAATAACACAATAATATTCTCACGACGTTTCGGCCACAACACAAGCGTCCTTCATCAGGTGAAGGGCCGAAACGTCGTGAGAATATTATTGAGTTATTTTATTTTATAAATTTATTATTTTATTCTCATTCTACGTGACTTCACCGAAAGAACCAAAGAATATGAATCCTTGCAGTCACGAAAGCTTTAAATCGAGTAGTGTAGTGGTTAGCACACTGCACTACGAAACTGGCGACCCAGGTTCGAGTGGCGGTTTTCTGAACCGGTCATGGGCCTCCCCTAGTTAGACTCAGTCTCAAATGAGTACCTGGTGTGGTGTGTAAACAATGCCACTCAAGAGACAAAGGCGGCCAGGCACGGTGCAGGTCACCCACCCCCTTCAAGTGTCGTTCCAGACTTCATAGGTTGTCACTAATTGCACTTGCCCCAACAATGTGTAAGGCTACACGGGGGAACTTTTCTTTGTTTATGTAGTGAGGAACCGTAGTGTTGGGGTTAGTCGACAGCACTACAATCCTGGTGACTGGAGTAAAATGCGCGTTCGTGAATATCTGAACCAGTCCTGGGCCTCCCCTAGGTCGACTCAGCCATAAATGAGTATCATGTGCGGTGCCTAGGCACTACCACTTTAGGAGACAAAGGTGGATGGGCGTGGTGCTGGCCACCCATCCTCGTGTGTGTTGTTCAGGCATTCATTAGGTGCTCGCTAAAAGCAAATTCCAGAGAAATTTGTTAAAGGCTATATGGGGACGTTTTGTGTGTGTGCGTGTACACGTGTTTGCATCTCTGCGCCTGTGTGTGTGCATGTGTCTAGACCTATGGGTGATTACATGTGTTTTTATACTTGTTTTTTGTGCCTGTGTGTTGCTGTTAAAGGCTATATTTGTGATATTTGTCTTTTGTAATTCACAGGTTCACAGATTTTTTGTTCCCACGCGTACCTTGCCCCAGAGGCGTACCTGGGCCACATGTCATCTTTCCCGGTTGACATGTGGGGACTGGGTTGTACAGTGGCCGAGTTGGCTACCGGACGCATCCTCTTTCCGGCCATCAACAAACACGACCAGCTCCCGTGTTATATTGAGGTATTGCCCACACAGCAGTAACACTGACAATTCCGTTATTGTCATCAAGTTCATGACCAATTTGCTCTTGAAATTGCCCAACTCAGTCATTGCTTCTAACCACGTTCACTTCTCAGCGAGTATTTCCGCATCAAGGGTATTAACATAATCTTCAAAATTGGTATGACCAATACAACATGCGACAGGAAATAGTTACTTACAATTCCCTGAGCAGACCACTTAAGTCGTCTCTTCTGTGAGAAAGAGGCATACAAGTGCTCGCGACTGGTTGCAGGGTTGTCCACACACAAGCTACTGAGTTGCATTCAACCGCGTGACAACCAATTACTCAGGCGTAGACCCGTCAAGGTAACCGTGAGCAGAACGCATAGATTTTTAGAGCTGGTGTTATGACTCGTGATAGATTATTGCGTGAGGCCACGGATTGGCCAAATGTAACTCTAAAACCACCTGCAAACAATTTGAATTGTCAGATGAACAAGCATTTATCGCGCCAATTATTGTTGTTTCATCTCAACTGCTTGTAATGAAGACATTTGTCACAACCATATAAGCAATTTCAAATGAAGCCACGTGACCCATAACCTCCGCTGTGAATGAGGCAGATGGTGCATAGTAATTTGTGGTTTAATACCGCAGGAAAGACCAGGGCAGTCACTGGGATTGATCGGTGAACTTCTGCAATGTGCTGCGTACTCGGTTTTGCTGGGCCATGCCAATAACACTGCCGTGTGCCTGCATGCGAGAACCATCGGGAGTGGTAGCTGAGTGGTTAGCGCCCTGACCGTGTGGTGTTGAATGTTGGACCAGTCCTTGGCCTCTCAAATATCGACTCAGCATTAAATCAATACCTAGAGTGATTTGTAAAATAGCTACTGCGGTCTGGCCTTGGGTGCTGTGCCATCATCAGTAGGTGCTCACAGACAAAACATGCCACACAAGTGTGTCAGTACTGTATGGGTGATCATTGTCTCTTTGTAAATTGTGTGTAGACCCTCGGGATGCCTCCTCAGAATTTGATTGATGGCGCGCCTGGGAGAAACAAGTACTTTGGTGAGTGATGGGGCGAGCGGGGGAACCGCGTTAAGTTTGAGGCGGAGCTGGGTCTGTTAAGAGTTTAGTGGGGCATTACTTTGCATAGTTAACTACTTCCACACGTGTTTTTGCAGTCAATATAATTCGTAATGCTTTTTTGGGGAAGGGTTAGGCCTCATGGTGATCTGCCCAAATTTGTGTCATTAAGGCTCTCCACCACCTGACACAGGCAAGCAAATTAAAGTACCATGAAGTGCAAGCGATTAAAGAGACGCCAGTTGTGACTAGTAATCATTTTTTTAGTAGAATCATCTGTAATGTGAAGGGCAATGCTCAAAACCACGTTTAGCAATCAGATCGGACGTTTTTGGGAAGCTGCAGAGGCAAGGAGACGTTTCCTCCCTCACCTGCAATGTAGAAGGTCGTCGCGTGGATCCCCACCCTGGCTGCTGTACATTGCGGGACCATATCCTCTCCCCTTTGCCTGGTCGCCTCTGAAGAAGAGGCAATAGTTCAGTGGGTTTTACCTGGTAAAAAATAATGTTTTGCTTGAAAGAGATTAAATCACAGTTAAAATAGCTCTTCTTTCTTTACCTCTAGGATTTATCATAGTTAATAATTATTGATTGCACTTGGTATTTGCGCTATCATTCTTAGAATGCAAAGCTATCACAAAGGAAGGTGCCTGCTGTGTTTCACAGACACCAACTGCAGTCATTTCACAGTAGCGGGCATAACGCCAGCACGGTAATTTTATTACTTCACAAGGTCTGTAATGTCCCATTTTAAATCAAACAGCGCAAAGCATCATATGGTTAATACTGAAGTAATTACCAGGGCGGCTTGCAGAATTTGAACCATGAACTTCTGCAACAAGCGGTCAAAGCACTCCCACTGATCTATGTTAGAGCACTAAAAGATTTTGTTTCTGTGCTGTGGGTGTACAAGGGTGCTGTGGTTTGTTGTGATGTTTAACCTGGTCTGCATCGTTCCTGCAGATGGTTCGGGGATGCCTTTGATGTCCGGACAAAGCAGGGTCCCAGGCAGTCACCCCCTCTACCTGGCACTCGGGAGCCAGGACTCGGAGTTCCACGACTTCATTAGCCGCTGCCTGGAGTAAGAACACACCCCCGCCCCCACCATACCACCGAGAGGTTTTCCCATTCAGTCACCTGGTAAAAAGAAAAACGTTTAATAGTTTAACATCACTGGCGAACGATCACTAGCTCCACCCTTTATTCTGATTATTCTTCATCTTCCAAGCCATGTCTCCCATTAAACACCATTGTCCATAGTCTTGCATGTAAAAAAAGCACTGACATAGAGATCCACAGACTCACATACTTACATGGTCCATGCACGTGTAGTGACTCAGTCGGAGACAGGGTTCTTAATGGACCTTCCTTATTCCACACGTCAGGAAACCACATGTGCCCCGCGTGCGTACGCACTAGTCACACATCCATGTTCTTGAAGGTACTACCAAGCTGGAACAGTCTGCAGGCTGTCTAGCTTGCGGCGTCTAAGGTGGTCGGAGACGGCACCGAAGAAGGTGACGAACGGCGACACGACGAGGGGATCCACTTCCAGCAACAGCCCCGAGCTCCGGTCCCGGGCCCCCTTTTATTCCCCTGGCGTGGCCTCGCCCCGCCCTTGCACCGCCCTCTTTCTCGAACCTACTAGCGGGTTCTCAGGCTTCCAGATCGATTTATTCCTGGGCTTCCCTTTAGATTTCCCTCTGCTGACGTGTGTACTGCCCCCTGCTGCCTCTGCCGCTTCCTCGTCAGCAGCCCGCGTTATTACACTACACACGTAAAGAGAGACCCATATACTGTCATACACTCACATGGTCCATACCAATATCCGCCATTAGCCCCGAAGTGTGTGAGTTCCTCACACAATCCAGCTGATAAATAAACGCCGAAATACTGCTGATTCAGAGTGAAACCTCTGCTGTCGAACCGGAGCTGGTCATAAGCACACTGGCCAGGTTTGGGAAACTCTCCACTCTCTCCACAACTGTTCCATGACAAACAGGGAGCTGAGGGTGTGGAATGTTTGATAATACAAAATACCCAGGCAAGTGCTTAGTTTTGGTGCAACTGATGGTAAGACCACACCTCTCAGTAGTACACTCCAGGTTCAACATCTGTGCTTCTTACTTCGCCTCTGAGTGAGCAGCAATCACCAGATGAGCATACATAACTTGGTTGACCAATAGGGAGCCATTACTCGACCCACCCAGGCATCGATCAGCCACATTAAATAATGTGGGAGGCAGAGGACATCCCGTTCGCACCCCAAGGTAAACAGGGAATGGCTCTGACTTCTGGCCACATAGCTTCACCTGAGATTGCCCACCATCATGAAGGCCCTTAATGTCCACACACTTACATAGAGACCCACAAACTTGCATACACTTACATCAGCCATACATTTACAAATACATAGACAAATAGACTCACATGCACTGACGTGTCCATACACATATAAAGACCCAGACTCATACACTCACATGGTCTATACACTTATAGAAACCAATAGACTCACATACTCTTACATGAAAGCCCTTAAAAGGAACATATATCGATATATGTATATCATGTATGTGGAGGGGGCTTGGTGAAGGATGCCACTGGGCAACGCCAGGCTACACGTACCTTGAGGCTACTGGACAGTTGTAAGCATTGACCCTCCAACAACAATTGAGGGTGGTGGAGCGATGTTCACAATGACGGACCACCAGGCCGACAAATACATCAAGGTGGCACAGTGGGGAGAACAGAAGGTTCATCTGCCAGTCATCACCAATAGTGGAGAATTTACGCTTCTCCCTTTTTTATATAGTCAGGTCCTGCAATGTTTTTTTTTATCAGGGCTCTATGACACAATCAGCCACTATTGAGTCATGACATAGGCAACATCGTGGCGTATAGGTTAGATTATTGCAACTCACTAGTCTACGGGACGTCTGGAAATAGCATTAGGAAGCTGCAGCATGTACAAGATTCTTTGCAAGATCCAACCATGCCCGTCCAGTGTTCACGGAGCTGCATTGGATTACACTTGCTAAACGAATACATCACACTCAATACACACAAAGTGCTTACCACAAATGAACCACAAATGAACCACAACACCACTGAGGCAGTTAACTTTTAAATATAGATTGAAAACTACTTTTTTTAACTCATGATTGAATGTAGTTTGTTGTCCTTCACCCGTACCTGCAATTGGCACGGTTGGCTATGTACGGTGTGAAATAAGTTGAACATACACACGTAAGTTAATGGACACAGTAAGAGAAAAAAATGCACATAAATCCTTACATCATTATCACCCTTGCCACGTGTGCCACATATTTCTGTGTGTCTCAACAGATGGGATCCAGCTCTGCGGATGACACCAGCAGAGGCACTGGCGCACAGCTGGCTGAGAGATGAGGAAATTCCGAGGGATGAGGAAATTCCGAGGGATGAGGAAGTGCCGAGGGATGAGAAAGTGCCGAGTCAGTGTGTCCCTGTTGTGGACACATCAATCCACTCAGAGGCATCCGCCAAGGAGGAGACTAGACAGTGGGGTGAACCCCTGCAGAAAGAGAAGAAGAAGTCACGTCTGGTTCGAGCATACAGGGCCGTATGCTCATTCTTCCGTGGCTTTAAGAAATGCACCGCATGCGACCATAATGCTCATCCTGGGCGCGTACACATTCCACACACCGTATACACACACGCTCACCTAAGCGAATACATGAGCAACTTCCGGTGCTAGCATCGATATCAGATCCCATCTCCTGAGTTTTTTACCCCCACACATTAAGAATAAATCCCCTCTTAACGACGGTAATTGGTTCCATGAATACGGTCATTAAGTAAGTTGGTAATTAAACAAGTACAGTCGACCCTTAGACATCGCAGGGGTTAGGGGTGCAGGCCCCGCGATCTGGAAAAACCAAGTTAAATGTTTTGGACCCCTTGGTGAGCGAAGCAAGCACCTCCAGTTACTAAACTTTTTAAGTTATCTCTACATGTTCAGCCTTTGCATGTCGTCTGCTGGCTTTTGCGTTCTTTTAGCAAACTTAACTTTTTACAAAATGTAACTTTAAAAAATAAATTGTGTATATTTATGGTATTGAAAGATACAATAGATTAATATTATACAGTACTGTACATATATTTTATGGATTTATGAGTCCCTAAACTTTTTGTGTCGTCTGCTGACCTTCGCGTGTCATCTGTTGCTTTCGCAAAACTCCCAAAAACTCCCCAAAAATTCCCATTTTATTTCTTATAACGACCCCGCAATATATTGAAACCGCAATGGGGAAAGTCGCGATGCAGAAGGGTCGACTATAATTTGGTCATTAGGCAAGTATAGGAAAGACATGTTAAAGGCTAAATTTGTTTCCATAGCATCAAAAGTTACCCCTTTTCCACCCATAAAACGTACTTTATAATGTAAAAAAAATGTATATTAACAAATAAAGTTACTAACAACATGATAAACACATAATATTAGAAGAAACATGGTTAATTCATTAATATTCCATTGTAATTAAAAATCAACAAAGTTGCATGATAAAGCGAGACGAATACAGCAATATTGTATAGAGTAAAACACAGTCCGCGATGACACGCGAGATGCGTATGCAGGCTGAACAATGACTGAGGTGCATGGGTAGCATCTAGATTCGCCTTGCATGATCTTATGCCGAGGCAGCCATACAACCACTTATTCCAACTCGCACGGCATAGTTCTATTCACTCAATCGCGTTTATCCAATTCTCATCCGCGTTATAAAAATAATGTGTTCCTTAATACAATATTTGCGTGATGAAAACATGCTTTATAGCAGAACTGACTGTACACACATACACACTACACACACCAGACACATGGGACTAGCCCATTAGTGTAGTTAGCCCTACGCTGGTCCCTGCCATCCTGGTTTTCATCTGGGCAGTCCTCAGAGGATGACCTCGCCACGGTTTCCAGGACATGGAAGGGCATAGCTGAACCAGCATTTGAGAGCTGAGGTGACCTGGTGACATCACAGATGAAGCCACAAAGGGCAAGTACCAAGGCCACCTGTTAACAGTTAAGATTAATTTTATTCATAGTTATATAAGTATAATTGTTGGTTTAAAAGACGTAATAAAAAGTACAATATTCGTAACATCGTCTCAAACTCGTCTGTATGTCATGCAACTCGGAGTTCAGCGGGGGAGGGGATGGGGAGGGGTCTGGGTCTTGGCTTCACCGACTCCCACTTGAAACCCACGGTGGGACTTGTGCCTCCTTGTCATACATAGAACGGTTCCACTCGGTGTGGACGCTGATGCGCAGTGGGCCCGATGAGTCACTTTCGGTATGGTCTGATTAAGGGCCCTTGCAATCAATCAACTCAGCCTCTCGACTTGTCTACCGCTATGATGTGTTTACACACACTACTTGGTGCATTTTTTCCTCTGGTCAAACAGTGTCCATTACCTCTACCGCACCTTTAGGCCCCAGGTGCCTCCCAATAACCTCTATCATCTACACAATGCAAAAATGAAGCCTCGAGACCTCATGCACCACCCTGAACGTGTGGTTAAGATGGTGATGGCTTTAATGTACACACGTGGACCTCCGAGTAGCAAGGTTGGCTACGTATGCTGCGAAAGAAGTTCAACATATATACATATGTGGGCAGAGTCAACCGGCCCTTTATGTTCATGCAGGGCGTTGGATACTCACTTTAGTTTGGTAAACTTAGCATCCCACCAACTCCGAAAAAGCAAATACGCACACTCCCACCTCCTCTGATACTCTGTAACACTCGGCTTGCTATCAAGGCCTCTGAAGACAAAGCATCAGAGGGCCTCTCTGGCTCACTTTCACCATTTGTTCTTACAAGTAAAACTCTGGACCGGTTTTAACATTCAGTGTCTCATCAAGAGCCAGGCTTGCTTGAACCATTTGTTCAGTTCCAGCAATACTCTGGACCGGTTTTGACTTTCATTGTCTCATCAGCAGGAGAGTCACCATCATCAGGCTCAATCGAGCCTGACTCTGCCGCTGATGAGAACCTGAACGTTGAAACTCGTGTGAAATGTGATTCTCATCGGGCCCCAGGCCCATGGTGTAAACCAATGCATGCC